ATGAAAATAAAACATTCCTCAACTAGAGCCTTTGTAAAGATATCAACCCATTGGTGATCAATATCAATAAATTTTATGTCAAAAACTTCTTTTTGGATATAATAGCAAATGAAATGATATCTTATTTCAATATGCTTAGCTTTGGAATGTTGTATGGGATTTTTGGATAAGTTGATGGCACTCGTGTTGTCACAGAATATTGGGATAGATGATTCAAAACTTAAGTATTCTTCAAGTTGATATTTGACCCATAGTAGTTATGAGCAACATCCAACTGCGGGGATGTATTTAGCTTTAGTTGTAGATAGTGCAATGAAATTTTGCTTCTAGCTTGCCTAGGAAATGAGACAATCTCCCAAGAAGTGGCATCCTCCACTTGTGCTTTTTCTTTCAACTCTATCTCCAGCATAATCAGCATCACAAAATCTTGTTAACCTAAAATCATGATTTTTCTTGAAGAATAGACTAAGGTTAGGAGTACTTGTAAGATATCTAAGAATGCATTTAACAGCCTTAAAGTGAGTCTTTAGGATTAGACTGAAATCTAATGCACAGACAGACGCTAAACATACTATCAGGTTTACTTGTTATGAGGTAGACTAAAGACTCTATCATCCCCCCATAAATCATTTGATCCATAGGTTTACCTGATTCATCTTTTAACAAGCTTCCAGACGAATGCATGGGTGTAGGCATAGGCTTACAATCATCCATTCTAAACATCTTAAGAAGTTCCTTGGTGTATTTTTGTTGATGAATCTAGATGCCTTCATCTGCTTATTTGATCTGAATTCCCAAAAATAACTTTAATTCTTCCATCATGCTCATTTCGAGCTCTATCTACATTAACTTAGAAAAATCCTCACACAAAGATTCATTAGTAGCACCAAAAATAATATCATCTACATAAATTTGTACTACTATAAAATTTATTCCAGACTCTTTTCTGAACAAAGTAGTGTCAACTTTGCCTCTCACAAAACCATTTCCAAGTATAAAGCTACTTAGTGTATCGTACCAAGCTTTAGGGGTTTGCTTTAGTCCGTAAAGAGCTTTTTGTAATTTGAACACATGGTCTTTGAATTTTGGATGTTCAAAGCCAGTAGGTTGTTTAACGTATAATTCCTCTTTAATAAGACCATTTAAAAATGCACTTTTTACATCCATTTGAAAAAGTTTATGTTTTTGTGAGCTACAAAAGCCAACAAAATTCAAATACCTTTGAGTTTGGCAACAAGAGCAAAGGTTTCAGTAAAATCAACACCTTCTTGCTAATTGTAACCTTGGGTTACTAATCTAGCTTTTTTTTTTTATACCATTTTACCTTCTTCATTTAGTTTATTTCTAAAAACCCATCAAGTTTCTATAACACTTTAATGATTTATGAGGCTCTAGATGTTGTTCTTCTCAAACTAATGAAGTTCTTTCTCCATGACAATGATCTAATCATTGTATGTCAAGGCTTCGTTTATGTAGTTAGGTTCAATCTTAGAGACTAGTGCATAAGAGGCGAGGTCCCAAAAAGTAGAATGAGTTTTTACACCTTCAGTCTTATCACCCAAGATTTGATTCTCTGGATGATGATTAATGAATTTCCAATTCCTCTAAGGTCTTGAAACTTCGTCCAGTTAATTCATCCTGCTTTCTAGAGGTTCCAACATCTGAGTCAAAATGTTTGTCTTTGTCATCTATCGATCATTAATTTGCAAATCTACAAAATCATCCTCTAGATCCGATAGTTTTGTATCAATCTTTTGTTCGTCGTTGAACTTCACATGGATTGACTCTTCCACCATAGAGTTCTAGAGTTAAACACCTTATATGCCTTTGAAGTTTCATAGTATCCAAGGAAGATGATGTGATTCCACTTGGAAATCACAAGAATTCTTCAAGCCTTCACGGAATTCCTTGGAAGAAGCTTCAAGGATGGAGACTCCACAAGGCTCAATGTGACCTAAGCTTGCATAGAAGCTAAGTCCGGAGAAGACTAAAGTTCCTAGCTCTACAAGGAGAAGCACTCAAGGAGGGTAGAGTTTAGGAAGCAAGGTGACTTCGGAGGAGATGAATTCAAAGAGAGAAAACTCATCAATATATCCAAAGTGTTCATACAAGTCTCGGCCATAGTGATTTATAGGAGAAAATTAGGTCAAGGTGACCATGGGTTAGCCTAAGGTTAAGTGGAACCAAGGTAAGGTTCACTTAACCTTAGGCGCCCAAACCCGGATCACCCATGTGCAAGCTCATTTGGAATGTCATTAGAATTCCATTTGAGTTGCATTTCGGATCACACCATGTGCATGTGTTGCACATGGCCGAAATGCACACCAAATGTGATTCTAGTTACATTCTAATGCAACTACACATGTAACCTAAATAACCCTAAATTCAAATGACCTCTAAATGAAAAAAACTAAGCTACATGGCCGGAAATACAAGGCCCAAAAGAAATACAAGGCACTAAGGCCCAATCCTATACTTGTGGACCTTCCAAGCCCATTGGGCCTATTGGGCCTTTAACTGTACCAAGTCTTCATGCCTAGCCCACTCCTCTAGGGTCTTTTAGGATGTCTCCTCTTGCCTTCATAACCATGGTTCCATCAGAAGATCCCCTTGTCCACTTTGGAATCAAATTTTTTAGAGTTAAACACCTTAGTGTTCAAGATGATATTAATATTATGTTTTGAATCTAAGATGCAATGTTCACAGCTTTTTCCCATAAATGTTTTAGTAAATTATTCTCTCAAAGGAAAGTTCTAACCATCTCTAGCAAGGTTTTGTTCTTCATTTCAACTACCTTGTTTTGTTGAGGAGTTCGCGATGAAAATAAGTTACGGAAGATACCTTGGTTTTCACAATAAGTTTTGAAATCAGAATTTTGAAATTTTATTCCATGATCACTTTTGATAGCAAATATGCAAAAACATTTATCATTTTAAACACGCTTACAGAATATTTTAAAGATCCTAAACGACTCGTGTTTGTGGCCTAAGAAAAATACCCATGTATATCTAAAATAGTCATTTATAATAACGAAAACATATTTTTTACCTCCCAAACTCAGTGTCCCAGTTGAACCAAATAGATCCATATGCAACAATTCTAGTGTTCTAGAAGTGGAAACAACCTTTTTAGACTCGAAAGAATATTTAATTTGTTTTTCTTTTTGACACGCATCACAGAGAATATGAATTTTCCAAGATATCTCAAGAAATCTCCTTACTAAGCATTTCTTGTTTATTTTAGAAATGTTTCATATGGACATGTCCAAGTCTTTTATGTCAAATCTATCTTTCATCTTCTCAAGACACTAGACATGTAACATTTTGTTTGCTCAAATTAGTCAAATCAATCTCATAGAGATTGTTCCTTCTCTAAGTTACAAAGAGCATAGATCCATCATTTTGTTTGACTATATACGAGTCTTTGTCAAAAATTACAATAATTTGATTTTTAAAACATTGAGTCAATTAGAAAATGTGATGCTCTTTATTTAACTTTTCGGTGAACAAATATAATTTTGTTACACAACCCTTGTCCTCTAGTATAAGGCTATCACATGCAAGGATAAAATTTACAAAAATAAAAAATAAAACAAATCCTAAAACCTTTGCGTATAAACCTTTTTTTTCCAGTACATATATGTTTGCAATAAATATATCCGGTGGTCTATTGAATCTAATTTCTTTAGAGCACCTCCAGCGGGAGGTGCTTGTTGCGTGTCTTAGTTGTAAGCAACGGTGCTTACAAGAAATCCCCGTTGGAGTAAATCTACGTGGCAGCAACGGTTCTTAAATTTTTCTCTTTGTTGCTTGTAGAAGCAACGGTTCTTAACCCTGTAAAATTGAAAATGAAGAGATTTGATTGGATGAGGGTCATCCAAGGTGGCACGGTTTTGTAAACCAAAAAAACTGATAAAACTTCCCTCACCTGTTACTGCCCTTGGTCAACTCCCTCCGGTGGAAACTTCTGCCGCGCGAAACCCCCTGACCAGAACCCTTCTTCCGCGCGGAAACCTCAACCAACCCCGTCATCCGCGCGAAAACCCCCCACCGAACCCCCCAGTTGCGCGCGCAACCCCTGACCGACCCCGTCAGCCGCGAGCAGAACCTCTGCAACCACTGCGTGCCACCGCGAGCGCCAGAACCACCGCGCGGCTCCGCTTGCGACCACCTCCGCCAGAATCCCACGCGACCCCTCCGCGCGCGACCCCTCCGCCCAGACCACCTCCGCGCGCCGGTCAGAGAAGAGAGAGTGAAGAGAGAGCGCGGTGGGAGGAGAGAGAATGAATAGAGTGAAGGGAGAGTGAAGGAAGAGAGAATAATGTAATTTTTTTATTATTGTAATTTTTTGTATTTCCTTTTATTAATAAATTTATTTTTATTATTGTAATTTTTGATTTTTTTTATTATGTAATTTTTTTTATTATTAAATTTTTTGATATTTTTTTTATTATGTAATTTTTTTATTATTGAAAAATTTTAATTATGAAAATTATTTTAATTATTAGTTATTCATATTTATATATTATTCATAATAATTAATTTTATAAAAATTTATCATAAAATATAATGTGAGGTGTCAAAAAGTGTAATATGAGTTGTAAAAAAGTTGAAGTACTTATAAGCAATTTCCATTGGAACAAAAGTTGTACAAATATAGTATGAGTTGCTTATAAGTGATGTGGCACAATGAGACCCATTTAAAGTAGTTAGGAATTGCTTATAAACAACTCTCATTGTAGATACTCTTAGGAAAATTTGAGGGCAAATCAAAGGTACAATACACGAGATACCCCACCACATATTTAAAAACTCAAACCCATCGCCACTCAAACTACTTGTTTGTACATTTAGAGCCACATACATAAAAACTTAAACCAATCGTCACTCAAACTGCTGTTAGTACATTTAATTAAAACCTTTTAGATTATGTTTGATTCGTTTGAAACAGGAGTTTGCACCTTCCGATGTATGAAATACAAAAGTAACAAGGCTTAGAGGTTAAAGCTAACATTTTTCCAAGCACACCCATATAACACGAATATAGTAGTGTTAAGTCAAGCACCATTTAACAATTTACGAAATCCCAATAGGTCTGCCACATTGTTGTGGTGCACCTTTCATTTTTTTTTTCTCTCTAAAGCGATGTAAACATTCTTTTTAAATCCCAACTGCCAACCCCCCAAAATTACAACTTAAAAGAAAATAAAATTCATTAAATTTGTTTCTTAATGGTAAATTTAGAATATTTCAAAAACCTTGTTCTCAAACATCAATAACTTGCTCCACCATAAAAGTTGAAGCAAAAGGGGAACATACAAGATGGCCAGCCATTCAAATGTTCTGTGCTTAACATTCGGATATAGTGATACCAATAATCATCTCCTGTCACCATGATGCCTCCTATGAGGATGATCATCAGCTTCAATATCTTGTCTTTTATGTCCACGTTCTTCCCTTCTATGTCTGTAATCTCCATCCTCCCTTCTACGTTTGTAATCTGTGTCTTCTCGTCTGCGCTTGTAATCCTCATCAGCTTCAATGTCTTGTCTTTTATGCCTACGTTCTTCCCTTATGGGTCTGCAATCCTCATCCTCCCTTCCATTTTTGTAATCCTCAGCACCCGGACTTCTTTTTCTTCGTCCGGAATCAATCTTCGCATCTTGCTTACCACTGTCTTCAGGTCTCTTTCTGTAATCTCTATCATTCCTTCTTTCCAAATGGCTAGAATCTGTGTTTCTCCTATCATCTCGGCTACCTCTTCTTTCTCTGTAGCTATCATCTTCGTCTCTTTTTCTTGAATCTCGCTCATCTTTTCGCTTGTAGCTATTGTCTTCGTCTCTTTTTCTTGAGTCCCGCTCATCTTTCCGCTTGTAATCATCATCTCTCTGTCTTCCTATATGCCTATCTCTGTCTTTCTTGTCAGCAAGGGAATCAAAATCCCTGGCATCTCTTGCAGCTCTTTCTGATCGTGCTTTGTCGTCCCCATTTCCCCCATGCCCTCTGCTTCTATGACCATACCTATCTCTGTTTGAGTCTACCATTTCCTGATCCCTACGACTTCTATGATCTTTAAAATTTTCCTTCCTACCTATTCTTTCAACTGGGTCGTCCCTGTCATGCCTTTGGTGTTTTACATCTCGCCTTGGACTTTCCACGTTATCTCCATCAAAAACCATTTCATAACTGCACCATGAAGTTGCAGTCACACATTTGGACGGACTTAATGAGAGGGACAGTTAAAGACATGCATATGCAATCAGAAGTACATACCTCGCATTATCTCCACCACGTTGGGTATTATCATCCTTTAAGATGTATTTTGCTTGTGGTTGTTTCATTGTAGCATCTCCCGTGCAATCCTTAGCTATATGATCTGTAGAACCACATTTGAAGCAACCACCACCTACAGCAATAAATTATTGTATTAAGATTACAGAGGGGGTGGTGCAGCCGAGCAGGTGTTTACATCCAAACATTGGCATTCAGCACAATGCTGTAAAAAAGAAACTAGTATAAAACAATATAGCTAAAATTCCAAACTAGCAATTAGATCCTAACAGATATCTTTATGGTTACCTTTACCCTTTTGATCTTTCCGCCTGTATTGTGTCCACAGTTTTGCCACACTTTGACTAAAATCCACATGAATCCTTCGATCATCAATCAAAGCATTATCCATCTGTAGTTCAGGAGATATTAAAAGAGAAAAGAGTTTAGGATACGAGTTTGTTTTCATACCAAGGCAAAGTTCTCTTTGACAATACACTTAAAAATGCTTGTTTAAATTCAAAATTGCAAAGAAAATAACGACTATGTAATCCAGTAAATCTAGAAGTCCAATAAAAATTGAAGTGTTATAACACAAAGCATATAAAACAGGTAAAGCAAGCAACCGAAACAATAACAAAATTATCTTTATTTTCTGTACATAAAATACAACACCCCCTAATATAACAAACATTGTCCAGCAGCTGCACCAAGTGCATCTATAGTACATTTAAGCCAACCAGGATAGAAAGAAAAAGTAATGTATGATGCAGAACAGAATCATTTACTGCACAGAAAGAAAAAAAAACTGTACTTGTTTAGGAAAAAGATGCTTCAAAAGCTTCAGCTTACCTTAAAATATGCCTGCTCGCATGAAAGTTTGTCCTCAAACTCTGTTACAAGAAGTAAATATAAGATACTAATGATTTTTGATTGCATTAACATTAAAATAAATAAATAAAAAATAGACCATTCATTTTCTAATTAGAGAGTAAGTTTTTATAATATAAACTGAAAAACAAACAATTCCAAATATTAAGAATTACAACTTCTAAATAAACTTGACAATGTATTTAAAGGAAACCAATATGAAATCTTGATAATGGTTGCTCAATTGGTCTGAAGCAAATATTAGTATACACATTTCTATTTAATATTTATTCATTAGAGGCTACATCCAAATCTTCAAAGCTCGAGCCTTTTGTCATATGGAACATAACATGATCAAAACTGAGGATAGGGGTTAAGTCTTTAGAGTTCACACTAAACAAAGCTCCCTAAATGTGTTTTTACGGCTGATGTTCAGAAAGAGTTGACAACTAGTTGTACTTGATTCAACTACTGCCACTTTTGATGGGAATAAATTGATTGGAGTTTTTTTTTTTCTTTTTATGAATTCTACTGTATATGCTTTTTGTATCTGGAAGAGTTCTTAATGATGAATTTTACAGGTTTAGGAAGATGCAAGAAACGCAAGATATACAGTTTGCGGTATCAGCAGTTCTTTAGTGTATTTCGTGGAGTGGAATTTTGTCTATGGAAAGCTTCTAAAGGGAACACACTTATTAATTTGTAAAAAGCCAATGGGGAGAGATACCCGAATCATCTTTCTTATTTTTTTACTTATTCATTCCTAAGTAGTAAGTAGGATTTTTTTTCCTTCGTTTTACTTGTTTCTTTGTCTTGTCTCCGATAATATTTTTATCATGAAATAATTCATGTTAATAATAAAATAATAAACCACCATTTCTTCCCAAATATGCATGTAACTACGAGAGCTATGTATGCATTAGGCAATAAATATCTGAAGTTCTGATACTGAATATCAACCAGACACCAACAGACACTTGTTGAATTGGATTTAAGTGGATCAGAAGAACTCGGCATAATATTTAGAACTGATGTTGAGATGCCTTAGAAAAGGTAGTGATAAACAATCAACAACTAAACTATTACTTATAGTATAATATTCAGGATTGAACTGAAATCAGCAATCTGGAAATCATATCAAAATCAAGAAAGGGAAAATAGATACTTTTCATTAAAATAATGATAAAAGAAGAAATTCATCAAGACGGGGAAAGAAAATCAGAATGGAGGGTATGGGAATGTAAAATAACAGAACAAACAAGAAAAGAAAGAAAATTTGCAGAGCAAAGCTAGTCAATGCATCAACGTATTTATTGGGGAAACCACATTAGAAAGGCTATGTACTTCAACCAAATTGAAGCCAAATACTAATATTATCCAGAATTAAGTGTCGTGCTATGGAACAACCTCACCAACATAGGGTACACTCCAAACAAAAACACCACAGTACCAAAGTGCTGTATGAATATATTAGATTTTAGATATATGTGTGTGCTTTTGCATGTGTCCATATACATACACACTAAAAGGGAAAATGAAAAGGCATAAGTAAATATTTACAAACACAAAAAACTGATTCGGAAATAGAAATCTTATTTGTACACATGTTAAGCATATTCCCAATTTAGAAATAGAAAATGTGTGTTCAGGATGTCTACAGTGTAGCATTTTTGTTAGGATTCTTTCTGCGATAGAAAGGAAACACCAGGAAATACAGACAAAAAAAAGAATGAAATAATGCCTCAGTATTAGTTAGAATCAGTAAACCTGTAATGAATGTACACAATGTACCCAAAGGAGCCCTCTCCTTTTTACACTGGATCTCCCAGTCGCCTAATACATGAATAGTCCCCCTTAACTCCTCCCCAATTAGAGAGTTATTTATAGTAACCAAAATCCGCAACTGTAACTGACCCTTTTCGAAATACATTCATAACAGATTCCTAACTACTAATTCACTCTTTTATTCTTCCTCCTATAATAGACTTGTAGGGTCTGTTTTTGGGTTTCATTCTCGAGCCTATCAATACCTTCCCCCTCCAAAACAACCTTGTCCTCAAGGTTGAACTCCGGAAATTGGCCGTTGATAGTAGTGACGTCTTCCCATGTAGCTTCCTCTGATGACCTATCCTTCCATTTCACCAAAACCTGCTGACTCTGATCCCCATATTTTGTAATCACACGGCTGCCCAAAATTTGCTTTGGTTGATACCCTGTGGTTGTTCCCTCAAACTCTGTGGGAAGCCCAGATTCTACTGTATGATTTCCCACTGCCCTCTTAAGCTGAGACACATGGAAAACTGGGTGGATTCTTGCTTGCTCCGGTAGCTTTAGCTGAAAGGCTACTGTACCTATCTGTTTCAAAACCAAATACGGACCATAATAACGTGCTGACAATTTAGGATGAAGTCTTGTTGGCATAGAAACCTGTCTGTGTGGTCGAATCTTGAGGTAAACCCAATCCCCTGGTTGTATTTTAGCTGGTCTTCTCCTAGCATTCGCATAATGGATCATTCGATCTTGAGCTCTCCCCAAATGATACTTTAATTGCTTTAGAGCTTCATCCCTGTCTCTCAGGTCTTGAGCTACTGCTTCTACCAAAACTTCTCCTGGAATAAATCTGGCTAACGAAGGGGGTGGTCTACCATAGACTATCTCAAAAGGCGTGCTATGTGCAGCACTTTGGAAACTAGTATTATACCAATATTCTGCCCAAGGGATGAACTCTGCCCAAATTTTAGGTTGTTCAGAGCTGAAGCAACGAAGATAAGTTTCTAAGGTTCTGTTTAGCACTTCCGTTTAGCCATCCGATTCCGGATGATAAGCTGTACTCATCTTTAATTGAGTCCCTTGCAATCTGAACAACTCCTGCCAGAAATGACTGACGAATGTAGGGTCTCGATCGCTAACAATTGAAGTTGGAATTCCATGTAGTCTCACCACCTCTCGAATAAACACCTCTGCCACCAATCGAGCCGAATACGGATGTTTAAGTGATATAAAGTGCCCATACTTACTCAATCTATCAACAACTACCAAAATTGCATCAAAACCAAGGTTATCGATGGCGAATAACGGTCTATGGCGGTGAGGTCAGAAATCCTTTATAACTCTATGGCATACATGGTATGATCATCGCAGTCCATCCACATGGAAATAGAAGGGTAAGCTAGAGTTCAATAAACAACCATACAAGTATAGGGTAATGCTATACTACTCATTCATCCAATCATCATCACAACACAACTACACAACTTATCATCAAATCTTAACTATCAACTCATTCATATACATTATATGCAACTTGAATGCAACAACACATGCAACATCAACTAATGCGTCGTCACACATGTACAACTAGGAGATCTCCAACAACTGAGGTTGAGCAGTCTAGGTGGCATAAACCCTATCGAATCCAACGTTTGACCTATCTCAACCAGGTCAGGTATAGGGCATCGTTAGGAACTCCGAAGAGAATCATGTATAGACAAGAATAGGCAATTACTCGGGTGTGCTACTTAGACTCAGAGGTCTAATACTACTGTCAGGGTAGAAAGGTTTGAGTATGGGCCTACCACGACTTTGGTCTGCATAACCAATCCACATATGAAGTTAGCCCACCCACTGCCCTCTAAGTACCACGCACTCTCCAGTACCTAGTCAAAGACTACATCTCTAACTAGATACCTTACGCAATTTGGTCATTCAACCATGACATGGATCGACTACTTCCATATCGCCCACACAATACTAAGGGATTCAACTTTAAAACAACTTCTAACTTATCATCTTAGTACTATGTATCTCAACATAGGACATATATATTCACCATATGTCCCCAACTTTACAACTTTACAACTTTACAATTATAGGTATCATAACAACTTTACAACAATAACCATCTTTACAACAATAAGCAACTATAGTCATCAATCTCAACTTCAACAACTTTAAGGCACAACTTTACAACAATAGGAATTTTTATACTACTTAATTAAACAACTAGAGCAACTATAGTCAACACAATATCAACTTTATGACTTCACAACTATAGACACCCTTCATTCAGCTTTACAACAATAGTTCACACATAACATATAACAACTTTAACAACATATCACATATTATCAACACACAACATTTTCATCACATAACACAACTCATACTACATGTTTACAACCCATCTATCATGCCAACTTACACACCCAAACAACATCAATCAACCTAAGCACCCAAAGCAACTTTCAACTTAACCAAATCACTTATTGTGAAATGGCAACCTTCACATAAAATGGCATATATGAAGTTATACTACTCCTATCATGCTCATTCTTATCTCATATGAAAGATAAAAAGATTTCTTACAACTCTCATAAAGACACCAATTCCTAATTCCATCATCTACCTTCTGTTTCCATGTGGATGGACTGCGATGATTATATCGTGTATGAGAGCAGATCAGGGCTAGGTTAGAGCTGGTTGTGGTGAACGCTACAGAGAGTGGGATTTTGTTCCTAGTGTCAAAGTTACCATTATGGGTAACAGTTGTTAGTGTTTGACTGACTCTAGGATAGTATTTGTTGGATGACTGTATATGCATAGTGTGTTATTTTGTATATAAATATTTATTATTTTACCTCTTCTTATATATGTATATATATACTGTTATCCCCTCTTGTAAGAATTTCGGAATCCAGCTGGAAGATGCTGCCAACACTAATCTTCCCCGATGATACAACCTTTCATGTTCCAAGGTATATTGAGGATGAGAATCCGGATCACGTTTCAGATCCTCAATTATTTTAGCCAAAGTAGGATCCCTCTTTACTTCAGTGTTATCAAAAAACGGTTATGGCGGCGCCATAACGGGGCCATAACGGCGTGGCGGCAGCGGCCGCAATCCTTTATGGCGGTTTAGGGTGAAAATGGCGGGGTTCCGCCATTTTGGAGATGGCGGCTGTTACGGCGGGTTTGGCGTGGCGGTCCGTGGCGGACATGGCGTACATGGCGCCGTTTTTGGGCC